GGCTACCGAGGCTCGGCTTATACACAGCAGGACAGAGGCCATGCTTTAACACTTTGTGTCTCGCTCGCCTCGCGCGCGCTCCGCTGCTGCTGAAGCCAGAGAGAGATTCCAGCGCGCCCGTCAAGCCCGTTTTCTTCCGCTCTGCCGGTGACGCAACTTGGCAACAACTTGGCAGGCAAAGGTAGGCATTGTTCCTGATCAACAGAGCGTGAATGAAAACAATAAGAAGAGGTTCTTTTGTTGGGTTGATTGAGGCCATAATCAGATGAAAGTGTCAATCAGGAGACCCTGCAGAGGCACAATGTGGAGTTTTCTCCACTTATAGGTCTGTTTTCAGCAACATGGATGCTGGTTGGAAGAGAGCAACTGCAGCTGAATACTTTATGCGAGCAATTGTGGATTTTGGATAAGATTATTGTTCGGTTTTTAAGAACAAAGGATGAAGGAGCCTGCAGGCAGCAGGAACTCTTCTGCTGCGAGCTTCTTACTGTGCACGCGCATCAGAAGAATGAGCTAGATCCGGTTCAAATTCAAAACAATATTTAATGTACGACACAAAGTTCACTTACAAACTGAATTAACTATCAATAGTAATGTTCTCGAGAGCAGAGACCACATACACGCGTCTCCTCACAGTCCGGCGCGGCCAGTTAGCTGAAAATGAGAGCTGCAGTGATCTGAGGTAAACTCCCTCAAACATTGTCTTTTGTGTCCCCTGAGAGTCTGAAAGTGTCCGATACTGTCATAAAACGTGTGAATGACCCTCAGTGGCGATTAGTGATTGGCTTCATTTGAATCCTGTCCCCTCCCATTATCGATCCCTCAGCAAAACATCTTGGACTCCTCCTCTCTGTCCTGCTGGTCAGCTTGGCATTTGACCGTCCCACTGGCCCCATCCTCCATCGATGAGGTCGCCTCCATTTGCTGCTGCATGTCTGACACCTCACTCACAATCCCTATCTGACCCTCAAAACTATTCTTAGTGTTTTAATACCTACAGTGACTATACTTCTGTGATTTAATACATTCAATGAGTTAATATACTGTAACATATAATATCCTCTATAAGTAAGGATATTGTAAACCTATAACACATTCCATATGGAAACATATTGTGACTAACATATTTATTATTGTAACACTTCTACTCACCACTAGGGGTGTTATTAAATCCTACTAATAATGCGTTTAATACTGAAATTCTCCACATTATCAAGCACTTAAAATGTCACTTAAAAAATAATCACAACCTCCAGCAACCACTAATTGACACAGAACGTGGGTGAGTTCTGTCTTTGTGTATATGTTTGTCAGATGTAGGCTTCAGTGCCAAAGGTGAGGCAAACCAACCAAATGCTTAAAGCAAACTCTGTAATCTGCTCAATGGAGAATGAGAGATGCTGGATTAGAGGAGGGAGTTAGTTGGAGGAACCGGGGGAAACCCGTGAAAGAAGGCTGTTATTAGAGATTACTGGGCAAAGGATTGTTGTTACGACCCAAATGATTTCGTCGTCTGCAGCTCGACAAGATGCAAAGAAGCACCAGGAATATCAGAGAAACTGAGAGTTGTTTCAGTGTTGAAGCGCCCAGAAGTGAGATTCATCTTGGACTTTGGGTTAAAGAGCAAACTAGTTCCTCCCCCTACTCTGGGATCTGCTCACCACGTTCAGTGGTCTGGCTTTCTAATGCGTGTGCATTTTGTGTCAGATTCTTGCAGTAAAGCCTTGTTTTTAAACCACCTCAACCCCGACTGATGGAGCTACCATCTCCTGCACTGGACTGAAACTAAGTCATGAGGCTAATTTTTGTTTCATTTATGGTTTCTCATCAAAATGTGCAGCGCAAAGCAGCAACATCCTCACTGTTCTTGGAAGTGTTCTCACCATCTGATGAACTGTTCTATTCAAATTACAAGCTGACGAGGTTAATTTACTGTCACTGTACGACAGGGTTGCACAACGAAACCCAACTATATTATACGTGGAGGGTCTTTTAATATCCTTTGAGCTCTTCGCAGGCACCTCTTGTCACCAATATCACTGTTGCTCGGTAGATGGGTACCAGTGATGTTCTGGTGGTTTTAACGAGACCCTCCTGTCCTGGGCCGTGCGCATCTAATGCCAGTTTGTTTTGTTTCCAGTCAGGATGCTTTCTATTGCTCCTCTCTAAAAGTTGACAAGAATTTACGGGAATATTGCCTCAATAAGTTTCCTACAAATTTGTTTATGAGTTTTCTTCACAAGGATGGAGATGTGTGACGACCATGTCAGGTTGTTTGTGATGCTGATTCCCGGGAACTGTCCACTTGTTGCTCCATTGATGTAGACAGGGATGTGTGTGTTTGGCTTCTATTTATCTCTAAAAGCAAACAATCAGCTCCTCGGTTTTACTGACGCTGAACAGCTGTAAGATTGTTGATTCCCTCTCGATATGAAGTCTCATCGTTGTTTGTAATCTGAGTGGTAGCGTCATCTGCAAACTTCTCTTTATGTCGGGGGTTGCAGTCGTGGGTGAACAGCGTCAACAGGAGGGGGCTGAACACACGGCACGGGGGGGCTCCGGTGGAGGAGGTTTTGGCTGCCACTCTAGCCCAGAGTGCAAACTTTCCCATAAGTTTGATGGAGGAGATTGTGTTGAAGGCTGAGCTGAAATCTACACACAACATTCTGATGTGTTGTTGTTTTCATGGTGTGTGAGGGCTGAGTGGAGGCCAGTGGAGACGGCATCCTCTGTGGATCTGTGGACTTGCGAGGGTGAGATCCAGTTTATCAAAGCACTTCATCATCATGGGGGTGAGTGCCACAGAGAGGGGAAGTCATCCACTTTACTCCACAACTTAAAACGTGTTTGGAAAGAAACCGTCAAAAACCTCAAACCTCAAATTAAATCTGTGGCCTTTTTTTTGTCAAACTAACGTTTAACTGATATTTCCTCAAATAAAACCCTCCGCTTTTGGAGGAAGAGTTCACGATTGCACCACTGAAATACATTCATTCGTGCCTGCAAACAACATTTCATGTTCAGTGGTAGAAAACACACATTTTCTTTTGCTCTTAACTGCTTTTCAGACCTTCCGAATCCTTCATAATGTATATGCATATGTTATGATAATACATTTATTCATCATTGTAGTCCTGTGCTGTGCTTTGATATGATAGAGACGGATGAGGTCTTGAATGTCCCTGTGTCACATTTGTTCTCTTTATTTGGTGAAATCTGCAGACAGATCACGAGGACTGTTATGACCTGAAGTGTGGTCCTCTCTTCCAGCAGAAGGAGGGGAACATGAATTCCGATCTGGAGGCGTCTCTGCCCGCTGGACAGGAGGCTTCCGCAATCCAGTGCCGAGACGTGTGCCGGTCGTACGGCAAACTGAAGGTCCTCAGCAACCTCAACCTGACTGTGCCACAGGGACACATGTGAGTGGAGAACGGCTGTGATTTACAGACCTTTTTCCTGGATTGATTAGACGTTTTTCTGCTTTATATATTCGTCAAACACGGCTTCAAAGTAGAATTTCTCTTTATTTGACTTTGTGCTTGGACTTAAACTGTGTTTGTGAACCCGTCTGGTCAATTAAAACAAATTATTATGACCGTGGACAAAAGAAACAGAGATAGAGAATCAAGAGAAGTAGAGACGAGAAGAAACAACAGCCAGGTTTTAATGCTATAAGTTGTATTTTATTCGTCCTCCTCTCCCCTTCATAGCACTAAACAGGCACAAGCAATAGACTTGTCCCTCTCTTCCCAGGCAGCAGGCTTGTTCTCAGCATGCAAATGAGGTCAGAACATACTGGGTTGAGCTGAAACCAGACCACTCATTTGGGAAGTGATAAATATGAACAATTCTGTCAAAGACGACAAGCTTTCCTCCTTTTCTAACAGGTTGGAAATGTGCAGAATGACGACGCTGATGTAGTTTTACAGCAGGAATGCATTCAGAGGAAATGTGCCGAGTTTCTATCTTTTTATTTAAAGAAAACACAACAAGAATTTTACATTACGGCCCTTTTTGTTGTTCTCTCTTTGCCTCAAAGCCTGATCAAAGACAGCAGTTCTGTTTATCTAACGGATTGTCACATCGTGGTGTCAAACCGTCCCTTGTTTAGTTTGGTTTGACAGTAACTTACACAGTCTGCCTGCAGCCATTGTTGGGTTTGATCTTATCTGGCTATCTTTGGGTATTACATCGACAGTATCGACTTCCTTTGTTAAAAATATTGATGAGGAACTCTTTGAGCTCCTTCCATGTTTGACCAGAAGATAAAGTTACACTTTCAGTTCACATTTTTCACGTGTTTGTCCAACATCTGCTGATAAATCCACACGCTGTTCACCCTGAAAACAGATGATAGACAAATAAATCTGCAACTACCGATTATTTTCATTTGTTGATTAATCTGTACATGATTTTCTCGATCAGTTGTTTGGTTGTGTGGTCTATTAAATGTCAGAAATTAATGAGAAATGTCTCCCAAAGTCCAGGATGATGGCTTCAAATGTCACAACTCGAATATATTCTGTTTAACGTCACAGAGGATTAAAGAAATCACAAAATATTCACTTTAAAGAAGCTGAAATCAGCATATTTTTACATAAACAAACATAAACTCTCACAGATGAAATGACTCAGCCGTCTACTTTGATCTGAAATACTCTGGATTGTGTGTTGCAGCTACGGCCTGTTGGGGCCGAGTGGTTGTGGGAAGACCACGCTGCTGAAATGCATCGTGGGAACTCTGAAAATCTCGCGGGGTCACATCTCCGTGTTGGGGAAGCCACCTGCGTACCCAGGTCACGACGTGCCGGGGAGGATGGTCGGGTACATGCCGCAGGTAATATATAATATATAATAGGTATATGTATATACTATATGTATATGTATGTGTATATATGTATGTATATATTGACACGAGACATATTTTCTGTAAGTAGATGTCCCTCTCTTACTCTCATGCTTAACTGGACTTAAATTAAGGTTTAATTAGAGTTAAGACATCTTAAATATTCTTATGTTTTTAAACCTGCAGATCTCGATGTAAATTCTTCGCAGCTCTCTGTCAGCATTAAGTCCAATTAGTCCGTCATTCAGCTGCACATCTGAGTGCGTTGCTCAGGGCCGTTCTTTAACGAGCGCGTCTCATTACTGTCAGACTGGATACCTGATGAGACCGATAACACACATGACACGTGGCCTCCGCTGTGTGAAGCCCTCAGCATCACATTCGTCCCAGAGAGGAAGACATGTGACACCTGGAGGTGTCCGGTGTTACAATGAGGAGGAATCCATTGACTTGTTTTGACTCAAACAGAGAGGCTAACAATACATAATATATCATATTCATTTGTTTTTACAGAAATATGCTGTAATCACTTTATCTTACATTTAGTTAAGAAACAACTTTCAGTGATGGACGAAAGGTATCAAAGTAAAGCTGTGTTACAGACTCACAGGACTCCAGAATAATAGTCAACTTGTTTTATTTCTGACTGATTCCACTGAGCAGTCACAACTTAAGTCTGCACTTAATATAGAGACAAATATCTTTAGAAAGCAAGCTTTCCTCCCTGATAAATCTGTCTCTGTGTGGAACAGGAGCTGGCTCTGTACAACGAGTTCACCATCAGCGACACGCTGACCTTCTTCGGCCGGATCCACGGCCTGACGGCGAAGGAAACCCGGGCGCGCATGGATTTCCTCGTAGACTTCCTGGATCTACCTCAGAAGCACAGCCTGGTCCGGAATCTCAGGTAAAGAAAAAACAGCGTGCCGGAGAATGAAGTTTAGAAGGCGGCAGAAGAAGCTCGTTGCTTGTTGGGTTCTTTGGGAACATGATATTAAATGCAGGTCAACTTTGCTGCTGCTTTTACACCTGAAGCTGTTTCCTAAAGCTTTGTCTTGCAGGGGAATTTTGGACGTTGTTAATCAATACCCAAATGGACGTCAGAACAGTTGGTGGTACTAATATATAACTACTATCCTTTGAATGATGTAAAGAAGTTCCTTTACTAAAAAAAAATAACTGCACACTTTTGTGTGCAGCTCTTAGCAGCAGGTTATCTTTTAGTAAAACATGAATAGATGTTAGATTCAGGTTGTTAATGAAGTGTATATCCCCAAATACAGCTGGTTTATGACGTGAGTCTACAGTCGCTTGTGGACTTTGACACCTGAATCACCCAAATGAACATGCACACACACACGCACACGCACACACACACACACACACACACAGCGTTGCTGAATATTCTCACCATAGAAACAGTGTTGCCAGATTTGATTGACGCCAAGAAGCTCAAACAACCCGCCCCAATTGTCATAAAATAAGAATCTCCATTTAGGATTTTTAGGGGTTTTATTTCAGTCCAGCATTAATAGACACCGCAATACTGTGATAACTTTTTGCCCAAATGGTACAAAGAGTTGCCCAAAACAGTTTTCACCCACCACATCCAATAGAAAGTAGCTCAATCGGGCAACACTGGTTTGCATGCTTCTGTGTTTCCTTCACAGCTCCGATATCTGAGGAAACATCATGAATCTGACAGTGTGTTGCTGTATGCCGTGCAGTTTATAAGCTGGAAAGGAGTTCCTCTTTGTGCCGCAAAGTCTCTTGTAACTCTTTTACCAAAATAAAGCGCTGGTGTTTATTGTCCCACTAAAACAAATGATCATATCTGCGGAGCCTCGTTTTCTGCTGCTGAGGTTCCTGGCAGCTCAAAGCTCAACGTATAAAACCTCCACTGAGAAAGATTCTCACGTTTGTTATCCTCAGTTTCACAGAGGAACACTGTGTTCAAAGACCAAAAAAAGCCTCGTTCTCAGGCCATAAAAGGGAACGATCAAGCTATGCAAATTAAAAATAAAGTATTTGGCATTTCACCAAATATTTCTGTCTTAGCTTTAAAGTTATTTTGGAAAATGGGACTTTAGTCTTTATGTGACTGCTGCAAGATGTGAGAGTAACTAATAATGGAACTCCTCCGAACAAACAGGATTCACTGTGAAAGGCAGTCGTGTTTTTGTTTTGATGATCTTGCAACAGGCTGCGACTCTCTCCCGGCGTCCGTGACTCACCGCTTGTTGAAACTGTTCTCTACATATTATGAAAGAATTCCTGGTATGAATACTTCAGCATGCAGCACGTGTCCTCATCGGTCTGTTAAAGCTTCGTATCATTCTTTCTTTTATCTGTATTACAGTGTAGCATCAAGCAGCTAATGTGTGATACATTACAATTGTTTTTTAATAGAATATGAAATAAATAAGGTTATAAATAATATGATAAAATAAAGCCCCTTCCTCCAACATCTCACGCCCAGGTCCTGTTGTTTTCCTCCGTGTCATCGGGCCGGTTCGTCCTGCAGGTTTTGTCTCTGCTACTGAGCGAAGCATGCTCAGAGTGGGAGAAGATTGCCCTCGGTTGACCTCTGACCCTTTCTGTTTTCTCTGTGTGTCACAGCGGAGGTCAGAAGCGGAGGGTGTCTCTCGGAGCGGCTCTGCTTCAGAATCCAGAGCTGCTCATCCTGGACGAACCCACGGTGGGAGTGGACCCCGTTCTCAGGGTGAAGTACGTCACACACACGATCAGATGTTTTTTTTGGCTGTTCGCCAACGTACGTCGTCCTCAGAAGACTGCAGGACGAGATCATAACAACATGTCATACAAGGTTTATTGATTCTCAGTGTACAACACAGGGCTGCACAACAAAATGCATCGTACTGGTTGACAGACAAGGAGGACAAAGGTAATCAGCAGAATTTGAAGCAGTGACTTTGCAGTTTCATGGTCTTTATTCTAAACTAGGAGCGATATGGCGTCTGGTTAAAAAATGGTCGTAAACTCCTGTCACTCATCTGTACCGTGTCTCTAAAGACAATATTTAAGCTGTAACATCACTAATCAATAACCAGAGGAAACCTTTTCTTTAACTTCAGATTGTTATCTTGTTGGTGAGTCACGAACACTTTGCCTTCCAAGACACAAACTACCGTACTGATTATGAAGCCAGGAAAGTATTTAGTAAGTCAAATGCAATACGCCAAAAAACAACAACAGGTTGTTACTGAATTCGGTCACATTTTGCAGTCTGCAAGCCAGCATGCTTTCCTACTACAGTAGCTGTACAGCCTTTTTACGTTCGTCACTCACTTTCTTTCCAGCTTTATTTGTTGCAAAAAGATTAAATAACTCTTTTCTAATTACGTTTCCACAGGAGCTTACAACGTCTGTGTTCTGACAACGTGCACGTTTCTAACTTATGTTCTAGAAAATATCCTTTTTGAGAGCTTACTGCTGCTCCAGCCTCGTTGTGTAACGGCTCCACAAAGCCTCATCAGATCAGACGGTTGGCAGGAAAGCTGCTGCTGGCGAAGCCGGAGGCTTTTTAGAGATCTTTTTAGGGAGAAACTTGGGGTCGGGGCCGTTATGTAATGGGTTCTGTCTTTCTCTTCCGGTCTCTCCGCTCTCTAGGATCTGGCAGCATCTGGTGGAGATTGTGAAGACGGAGAGAGTGTCCGTCATCATCACCACGCACTACATCGAGGAGGCCCGGCAAGCCAACGTGGTGAGAGAGAGAGAGAGAGTACATGCATGAACACACAAAGAGAGAGAGAGAGAGAATGCACATAAACACACAAGAACAAATGCACGCTCACAAACTGGTGCTTCATGGTGAAACAATGAGTGCATTGATATTTCTGCACTGTGTTGACTTGTCAAAGGAAGTTTATTCTTTATTGGCTTTGACAGGACGGAGAAAAAACACATTTAATGAGAGAAAAACAAACTTCTTATAGAGTTTGCACTGAAGCTCTCTGTCTGTGTCTTTATTTCACTGACAACAAAACGTTTGATTCGTTCGGTTCAAAGTTGATTTTTGTATATTTTTTATTATTGTCAACAAATCCTCTAAAAACAACAAAAGAATCCAAATCTCCACATTGAGTTTATTCTGAGTCTATCACACATAAACAACCCTGCTGCTGTAAATACTAACCAGAGCACCAAATGTGTATTAATCCGCCACCGAAAATAGTCCCCAACAAAATCAAGTCAAACTTTATTTGTTTAGCACATTTACAAACATCCGAACAGCACAAAATACAAATGAATACAACGATAAGAACAGAAGACAACAGTAAACAGTAAGAGAAGAAGATGATGAAGTCGTCTACGTTTCTATAGTCTGAGCAGGTTTTACATGAATCTAAGAATCTCAGCTGTTCCAGAGGTTTGGGGCGGTTCTGACGTCCTGGAGCATCTGATTGGTCGACCTCGGTGCTCTTAAGTGGAGTATGGAGATTATTATTATAGCGTGTCCCCTTCACTTGGCTCAGCATGAACCCAGTCTTTCCATACGTCCAGTTATTGTTCCACCAGTAATCTTCTTTGTATATTAAGTCCATAAACTTTGACATGTGTTGAATTTGTTCTGTGGATTCCTTTTCTTTTTGTTTGAAGGTGTAGTTGGCTTTCCCCTGAGAGTTAGACGGATTGATACCTCTCACAAACAGAAATGTAAAAACCATAAGCTGTTACCCACTGGAACCAGTCTTTATGCTAAGCTACGCTAATCGCCTCACGGCTCTAACTCTTATCCTTAACTTTTGCCTGAAGTTAAGATTAATATTAGCTGTTGGTGACTTCAAGTGGAAATAATCTGTATCTTAGAATACCCCACTCTGCTTAGACCCCCGTGTGAACATGTTGACCTGATGCAGCAGCATGTAAACACAGAGACAGAAATGCAGTCTGACTGCTCAGCTGCAGCCTTCAGTTTAATGATTGGGATCACACCGAGGGCGACTGAGGTGAATCTGCTGATTCATTGCTGTCTTTGTGACTGTTGACAGACGTTCTGTCTGCGTCTGCTGCAGCAGATGTTAGACTTTGATCACACAGCAACTGACAATTTGTTTATGATGTTTTTGACCCTTCAGACACGTTGATGGGATACGTTCGACACTTTCACACACGCAGGACAGAAAAATGAATAAATAAATGACAAGAGACAAATTTGAGAAGCAGTTTACTTTTGATTTTGATCTAGAAAGTCCTGATCATACAAGAGAGTTTCAGATTACTTTATAAAATATCACATATCACATTCTATCCACACGAATAGTCCATCAACACTCTGATTATTTTACTTTGTTAAACATTCTCCTGTTCTTTCTCCAGGTGGGTCTCATGAGGAACGGCTGTTTGCTGGCTGAAGGACCTCCAGACGCAGTCATGAAGCAGCACAGTGCAGCAGTGAGTCCTCCCGAACACCACCACGGGGCGGGGGGAGGCCCGGGGGGGCTGGTAGTCAGGACAGGGAGGCTGTTCATCGGCCCACATAGCAAGGCAATGTTTTATAAAGTAGCTCATCTCGTGAACAAATCAAGGTGCTTTAAATGTGCACTAAAGATTTAAAAGAGTAAGACTGATAGTATAAGTACTGTCCTTCTGTTAAATTGAAGATATCAATCAGCTCGTGAACACCTGAAATGAGAACATAAAGACAATGAAACACCTGCAGATGGTGGTCTTCTCTGCACATTCATGTGATGAATTAACTGTTTTAAATTGGTAATCTTACAGTTTCATGCACCGTTTACCAGATGTGATGTTCCTCTCTGCATTAGAGGAACTGAAAGAACTTCATCAGTTTTGGTTTCAGAGGAGAACTAACTGTCCCGTGATGGTTTAAAATGCAGTTTAAGAAGTATCTCACACTGCTTCAACTCCAGTGTGAACATGTTGACCTGTTCTTACAGAATAAAACCAACAATACAAATAAAACAAAAGTTAAAGTTTAAAAATAAGAGCTAAAAGAAAACAAACAGTTTAATTATCGTCCATGTTTGAGCAGGTGAGAATAAAAGGTACGCATGCTGTTTACCTGCTGGTCTGGTCCCTGTGGTTCACCCACATGACCTTCTGCTGCAGACCCTGGAGCACGCCTTCCTGCGGCTGTGTGAGACGTCGGACCAGGTCGGCTCCAAGCGGGGGTCCAGTCCGCCGGGGGGGGCCGCTGGAGAACAGCCAGTCCTTCGAGAGCGGCCGCGACGAGAGTCGGCCAATTCTGGCGGTCGGACCGGGAGCCGCACAGGAAGTCCCCACGTATTCAGGTCTGACATCTTAAGTTCCAAAACACCAAATATGATCATCATCTGAAGAAATACAGATGTTTTTGCAGGGTGAAGTATGTGAATATTTGTTCTTCTGTGTGTGTGTGTGTGTGTGTGTGTGTGTGTGTGTGTGTGTGTGTGTGTGTGTGTGTGCGTGTGTGTGTGTGTGCGTGTGTGCATGTTCAGCGGACTGGAAGGTGCGAGCCCGACACGTTCTTCCCAAGTGGCGGAACATCGCCGCCCTGATGATCAAAACATTGGTGCGGATGAAGAGAATGCCGGGGTACGTCTCCGTTAATAGTGTTTAGCTTTAAAATGATATATTACACTAATGACAAGAGCGACAACATTTCCTATGAGAATGGATTTAACTTTGTGCAGTTTGTTTTTGATAGAATGTGCAGAACTTAGCATTGAATTCTGTTATTTTGGCAGTTGTAAATGGCTTTAAATGATAGAAAAACTCAAAAATGTTACTAAGAAAAGAATCCTCCACCAGGTTTATCTATAACTTTATATTTCCCCTCTCTTATCCCATCATCCATACCTGCATGTCTCATCTGACGAGGCCCCTCAAAGGGTTAATGTCTGTTTCTCCCCTTGCGTCTGCAGCTCGTTGTGTTTCCAGTTCCTGCTGCCCGTCATCCAGGTCTCTCTGATCTGTTTGTGTATCGGAGGAGACCCGAACGGGATCCAGGTCGCAGTGGTGAACAACGAGACCTCCCCCTCGGCTTACAGCCATTCACTGCTCTCCTTCCTGGACAACTCCAGCGTGCACCAGGTACCGACCGCAGCAGCAAGTGGGTCGAGCACCAATGAGACTGCACAGAAGTGTGTTTGTTTTGAGGCTCACAGAGCGACTGCTGCTGCCTGAAAGGAAGTAACAGATGTCTCTCAAGCAAAGTTCCACTTCTGCTCACAGCAGAACAAACACCAACATTTTCAAGGAGATCCAGTGAAGGGGGACAGTTGTTCCTCTGCATGACAGCGAACCGTTCAATATTCTGTATGAAACACACACTTCTCTAGTGAAGCTGCTCAATAACAAACATCTGGAGCAAAGTATTCAGTATTCACTTGATATAAACACATTAAATATGGTGTTTGAGGCGTATACATTGTTCTTTATATATCCACAGGTGCCCTTGTCCCATGCGGAGGCCTTCGATGGGATCTATAACGGGGAGTACTGGGGCGTCATCGGCTTCGGCGAGAACTTCACCAGCTACCTGACGAAAAGGTGAGAGGAGTCGTAACTTAATAATCAATCAATAAATGAAACAACATGACTTACTTAGCTCCACCCTCTTGTTCCAAAAAACAAGATGGTGACGGCCAAACTGCAGAACTCGAGGCTTTTACCGTTTTATTTCCTAAAAGCATAAAAACCTTCAGAATCGGGGAACAGATTTTATGCTCTTTTAAAGCTGCCTGAATAAAATCAAGGACCTTAAATATAGCTCAGAACTTATTTTGTTCCTCACCTTTATGTCACCTGAAGTCTACGTTGTTCTCTCGCTCCCCCTTTGACACATAAATCAAACCACGACAGCTCAGCATTATATCATCAGGATGAGTCAGTCCTGGAGTGTTTGAGGGCACGAGTTGTTGTTGTTGTGAGTCACAGTTCAGTGAGTGTGTGTGTGTGTGTGTGTGTGTGTGTGTGTGTGTGTGTGTGTGTGTGTGTGATGCCTGGGTAGACAGTCCTGTCCTTCCTGTCCCAAACACACCTGGGCAGGTGAGATGGATCACACGCTCATTCTTACTGAATCGTGTGTCGTTCACAGAAGGTTCCAAAGAAAACAAGAAGTTGTTAAAATAATCGTATCTGTTGTTTCGTTTTTATCCGAATAGACCGGAATGTGTTTTAGTTTACATCTGTGTAACGTCTGTTGATTATTGTGTGGACAAGGCATGATGGGTAAGCAGTCAATGCAGACCGTAACGTGTGATGCCTTGAGGAAAATGTAATTATTATGAATAAAACAGGAAAAATCCCTTAAAGATGTAAAATACATCTCTATAAACAAAGTGGAGGTGTTTGTGTTTGGGGCTAAGGAAGAGATATTTTAAAGTAGTTTTATGGCATTTTATAGACTAAGTGATTAATTAGATAATCAGGAAACTGATCAGTAGATTATACTGAACAACAGAAAGTCTTTCTTCTAATCTGTCTTGTAATGTACCTGTAAACAGCTTGTGTTGTTGCAGATGACTTTGAGACGATATGCAGCATCTTGACCCTCGTATTTCTGTTCGTATTGCAACATTCCCGTTTTTACTTCATATTTACTGAATGTTGAATATGTTTATGAATATTGAGTATCACTCTGATTCTACAGGATGATGCAGCGGCAGGTTTCCAGAGAGGTGGTTGACGGAGGATCGGTGCACGTCTGGCTGGACCTCACAAGTAAGATTACTCAGTTTGTTGTGTTTTTGCAGAAAACGAGTCACTTTCATTAGATTTGCATTGAACAGTTGTGATTACAATTCATTGCAATAAACTCTAAGGTGCAATTTAAAGAAGTTCATGAATGAAGTGCTATTCTTGCATGTGTTTTGTGTCTTGTGTATTTTGTCTAGATCGACAAATTGCCTTCATGCTGCAGAAGAACCTACACGAGGCCTTTCAGGTAAATAAATAAATACGTTTGTTTTGGAGTCTCGTGAAAATATTCAGACGTCGTCATTTTACTTTGAGAGATAAATCAGAAATCACTCGACACATCCAGCGAGTACAAAGACATGTGGCGACGTACGAGACGTGGCTGTGTAAACTCACACAGGTTATACTGTGTTATACTCATAATACAACACGCGTGGCTTTAGGGCTCTACAGCAGCTTCATGTCTCTAATATCAATATTGTATGTTATATTTTTGTGTATTTTATTCCATTTTAGTTTTGTATTATTGCATCATCTGATTTTATTGACCTCATTGCAGTCCTGAAGTGTTTTTAAAGCACTTCATTGGTTTTGAAAAGTGCAATATTAATAAAGATTTACTTTATTCTCATTACCATCCTCATACTAAATATGTTTTAGCGGTATATTGTTTAACTTGTCGAGTCTTCTATTCACAGACTTTTGTGGACAATAAATTGGGAAGTTTGTCGTACCTGGTCGCTCTGCCAATAAAGGTAATAAAAATGTTAAAAAAGAGTTTATAGAATAATAAATAAAATAGTGTAATAACAATATAGAAACGCATAAAACCTGTTTGTATTGCAATCTTAAAAGAGACACTACTTTGCAAACAAGTTGACAACAATACATAATTCCAATGCAGTAAATATATATATTTATATATTCTTCATAATAACAGTGAATTTGAATCCTTTGTTTCTGTCAGTTTGAGGAGCCGATCTACGGCAGCCTAAACACAGACTTCACCACGTTTGTGACCCCCGGAGCTGTTCTCAGGTCAGTGCTGAACAACTTTATCTTCATGAACCAGCGAGACAACCTGCCATTTAACGTCCTGCTCCTTCCTCCTCCTCCAGCATCACCTTCTACCTGGCAGTGGGTCTGACAGCTCTCTCCTTCGTCCTGGAGAGGAAGGAGGGGCTTCTGGACAGGTGCTGGGTCGCAGGTGAGAGGTCAAAGGTCACACTGCTCCTGCAGAGCGACACAGACACAAAAGATGATGAGTGTAATATGAGATGTGACCACTAGAGGGAGTCAGGTGATCAGAGCAGAATGTGAAGTTTACCAGCAAACACTGAGACGGTTGTTTTGGTTATTTCCATTCATGAATTATTGATTTCATAGCTTTAAAAGGATTAAAAACGTTTGTAATTATTAAAATTTGGACTTGTCTTGTATCAGAATACTAATTATTATGTTTGTGTGTCTTCCAGGTGTGAGCTCTCTGGAGACGATGCTGGCTCACCTCTTCTCTCAGCTGTTTGTCATCAGCGTCCAGATCGTCCTGCTGCTGCTCTTCATCCTGCTCGTCTTCAAGGTTCGTCCTCAAACAAACACGCTTCAGATAAGATGAAACTTTATCCATTGAGTCAGCAGCAAAAATAAGAAAGTCAAAATACAGAATCAATAAAAAAAACAATGGAAAGCTCAAATAATTGTTTGCTTATATAAAGAAAGCTGATTGTTTCCACACTGTTTCTACATGTGTGTGTTCCTCTGATCATTCCTCTGTGTGGTTCGCTCCTCGTCGTAATGCCGATAAGTGTTTGAATATCCAACATGATACACAGTGACTCACGAAACTTAATAACGTCCATAAAGGAGGAACGCTCGGATAATAAAACTTACTGTATTTGTTTTAACTCCTGAGAGAACGCAAAGAAAAGGAAAAAGTATTTGCACACGGGGAAAAAAGTATTGTAGTCTTTTCAAAACGTGACGTTACGATCCTACAACTCCCATGAGCACCTTTGCACACCGTTTACTCATTCCATTGGTGCATTCTTCCGTCTATTGTCTCAACAATTAGAACAATAGAACCCTGACAGTAGTAACGATGTGGCGATACTTAACCGGCGTGAAGCACAGAAGAGCAGCTTTTTGTTTCCCACTTTGCTCTCAACACAAAGCACAGTGTGAGAAAGTCACACACGGTTTCACACATTTAAGAAAAACGAAATACAATCACAGATGAATCTTTCACTGCGTTTCTAAAATGATTTGCTTTGTGGAGAGTTTGACACATTGAAGGTTAACGTGCCACAAATGCAGCAGAGCTGTTTGCATTTTCACTACATCATCGTTATCCTGCAGAACGTGATTATGTTAATAATAATAATTCACTTCAACCATCGAGCAGAGTGTTTCCTTCAGGAGAGGGAACGTGGTGTCAACGCTCCTCTGAGCGTCAGCGGCCTTCAGGTTCACTGTGAACACGAGGATTCAGCTCGTCATCGATTCTCAAGACACGTGTGAGCGGAACAATACAGGGGGAAGCACGAAGACAAGGGACGAAGGATAGCGTGTGTGTGTGTGTGTGTTGAGTCCGTGCAGCGACATCCTTTTTATGGGTGTCCGTGTGTGTGTCCGTGTGTGTGTGTGTGTACGTGTGTGTGTGTTGAGTCCATGCAGGGACATGCTATTGATGCGTGTGTGTGCTCTTGAGCGTCCATGTGTGTGCGTGTGTGTGCGCGCGTGTTTGTGTGTGTGTGTGTTGATTAAGGTGCAGGAGTCAACAGAGACCACCGCGACATAAATCACTTCCTGCGTTGGACATTTCCAGGGATCACTTTGGGATCGCCACGACAACAGCCCTTGATTGCTGTGGCAACTGAGCAGTCATGTGGACTGTGTGTCTATTTTTGCTCGTTGTCAGGGGAGACGGATAGTGTCTTAACACACACACACACGCACGCGCACACACACACACACACACACACACACACACGTTCCTACACTTTGAACCTTCGGGGACTTTTCTCTGTCTTTATCTGATTCTGACTCGTTCCACCGTCCTGTCGCTGTGATTTACAAGCGGCAGTGACGTTTCTTTTGTAGTTTCTTGATGTGTTTTGGCTGAAGAACAGTGCCGTACATCAGAGAGTGTGTCTGCCTCTCAATACTGATTCACTGAGTTAGCATTGCACTCAAAAAGGATTAAATTCGAAGCAGCAACAACAGAGAAATCATCTTTTTGCATTGCATGCATTTTTACTTCCATGTTAAATCCGGGCGCCTACATTACCCAGAATGCAACATGACATTCGGGGTTAGTTACTGTTGCTTTGAGCCTCCAGCCTGAAGCAGACTGCAGAGGTCTCACTTCTTTCTAACACCGTTCCTCCAGTTTTATTTTTTCACTTTCAAACTTTAGCCCCAGCTGACCCTGACTTAAGTGACATCACTTGAGGCAATTTATCGGACTACAAACACATCAATCTGGAGCACAAAAAGCGCTTATTTATTTTATTTAGATGAAATGAGACGGTACAAAATACAAAATGTATTATTTTAATGGAAATGGAAAATTTAAAAAAAATTACAAGATGATGGATTGTGTTTGCTGTAGAATATATATATATATATATATATATGAAAAATGGTTGTTATATTGTATGTTTTTATTTATGGTAATTTAAATTTTGTGCACGTAAACTAATGTATATCACTCTGCAAAATTCTGTTTTTTCCTGACTTTAAGCTCATCTCACAGCTCTACTGCAGCTTTGTGGCTGAAAATAGCCTCTTAACTTAACTTTCCTCTCTCTTCTTCCTCCATCTCTCTCTCTCTCTGTCTCTCTCTCTCTCTTTGTCTCTCTCTCTCTCTCTGTCTCTCTCTCTCCAGCTGCCTAATGAAGGCTCCTTGGTGCTGGTCGTCATCCTCATCGTGCTGCAGGGCATCACCGGCATCTCGTTCGGCCTCGTCATCTCAGCCGCAATCGACGACGAGCAGAACGCCAACCAGGCCGCCCTGGGAATCTTCTACCCCAACCTCATCCTCAGCGGTGTGTGTGTGTGTGTGTGTGTGTGTGTGTGTTTGACCATAATACTGTCCATCCTTCTGTGAAACCAGCTGCTCTCTTCTCTCTGAAAGTTATGAGGAAATATTTTTCCGTTGAGGTTCAAAGTGTTTTCTTGACTTTTGAATCAGCAGTCGAGATGATCTTCATCTTTGAACCTTTAACATGCTCATGGAAAATGGAAATTTGGGATCTTGTGGTTAAATTAATTTCCATTGCAGTTGTTTTGAAGTTTTGTTGTTTTTTTATTGAAACCAGAGCTTGTTTAAATGCTTTATGAGGTTCATTATAACGACAGATCATCCAGATATGAACGCTGTACTCTAACAGCAGCTTGTTCCACTCCCCGTCCTGTACTTTAGGTATCATCTGGCCGGTGGAGTGTATCCCGTATCCTCTCCGCTACATCAGCATGGCTCTTCCTCAGACCTACGCCTCCGAAGCCCTCCGCTGTATCATGTACAGAGGTAATGCACACGCACACGTTACACAACACTCACTGTTACGCCGCTGTCTGGCGTGTCGTTGGTGTGTGTGCTGCACGCGGCTCAGATTGTTATAAACAACGTAGCCAGTCGTCTAAATCATTCATCAGCTCGATCCTGTAGCTTCCTGGGATGTAATGTATAGTGGTTTCGCTCCGTCTCCCAGTCTTTCCTCCCTCTCTCGACCTCACCGTCTCCGGACATTAAAGACCTTGTTACATGATACATGCACAGGAAGTCAGAGGAGCCGTTTCCTGTTTGAAAGCCTCATCGTAGAGGTGGCAGACGGGACACAGGCACAAGTCGAAAGTGTTAGAATTGAATTTGGGGGATGAGCATGAACGTTTTCTTTTCTTTGCAACTGCATCCTGCAGAATTCACTGATTGGATTCACTTGAACCCGGAACGAAATGGGACCTGCAGGAGACATTGTGGTCACATGTTGCGTCTGAAAACACGTGGAAAACGGCGGCACTTTCATCCTCTTATCCAAGACACTTCAGGTGGTTGCTCTCCAGTCGTCGTTGCCATTACTAAGCAAACAAAACCTGCTCGCTGCGATGCAGATGATGACTCAAGGCTAATTAATGTCGTTATGCAACACAGGGCTGCACATGACTAACAAAACAAAACAGTAGTACATTCCTGTGCAGGTGGACAGAGCCAGGCTAGCTGTTTCCCCCTGTTTTCAAGTGTTAATGCTATGCTAAGCTAACTTGTTCTACAGAGTTCTTGTACGACTGACTCCTAACGTGTCCAGCTTTGGTTTCCTGCATCCTAACAAGTGAATATAAAGCTCCGCCTCTCCAACAGGTTGGGGTCTGTCTCGGATGATGGTGTGGCGAGGCTTCGCCGTCACGCTGGGCTGGAACACGTTCTTCCTCGTCCTGGCCACGGTCATCTTGAAGCTGAGGTCGTGACGGCCTCTCCGCCTTCTTCAGCCTTTGGAGACGGAGCCGCCGGGCGGATCCCCCGGCGACACGCCTGGGCCTCCTGTCTGGGGATGAGCAGCCAAGCAAACGGTTGCTTTGGCCCCACACGAGTGGAATTTCAGTACAGAAGACAGGATATGTACATGCACAACGTGAGAGGATATTCTAGATGCTTCATGTCAAATGAGGTTTTTGTTTCACTTCTATGTGCGGCTTGTTGGAACCTCTCACCCTCAGAATTGCACTAACTCAGGGTCGCGTTTCTTCATTTGTTGGCCCTCGCTCTCAATGCAAGTAGAGAGATTTGATGGCGAATAAACTGAGTACAACTGTAGGACGAAGGTTTTCTGTCCGCACAGTGTTTGTCTACTTTACATTCGCATTATAGAGAAGTTGTATGTAAATGTGAAAAAAGAGTCTCAGCACAAAAACATGTTTTTATTGACAACAAAATGTGAAATTATATTTAATTTTGTATCCGTTTGCTTCACAAGCAGAAAGAGACATTTATTGTTGCTTTACGTCGTGGGAACCCGGAATGGGGTTTAAAAGTGCTGATCGTTTCATATTGTCAGAGAGCATCTCACCCGTTCAGGCTTCCCACAGCGATGGTGTCGTCTCTCTTAACGTGTGTCCTGTGTGGTGTGTGACAGGAAGTGGTAACTCATGTTGGTGCGTTATCGGGTGCTCGCTAGCAAAACCGTCGTTGTTTTCAGTTCAAGTTCATGGGGTTCTCCATAACCTGTGTTTTGTGCCTGCAGCTCCTGTGTGAGAACAGAAGTGGTTTGAAGTTGGTGATTTGGAACGAATTGGTACTGTGTTATTTTCTTAGCTTTTATTTTTTTATTTTTCATTGTTACCCTCCACTCTTTGCTGGACAGAGTGGAGGCTGCTCTTCTCGCAGATGATGCTCTTCAAACCCTTTGATAAATATGTTCTGTTTTCTTTTTCTTACACAAACATTTCAAACGGCTCGTACTTTTGTTCCTGACCGTTCCACCAACAGAACCAGAACAAAGCACACAGGAGAACGTCCGTTTTGGATTCAACGCGTCATGGAGACGCTGTGGTGTCGGCACTGTGGACGCAAAATCCATAAATGAGGAATAACGTACACTCCTGAAAATAAAGGTGCTAACCAGAACTATATAGGGTTCTTTGGCTTGTTTTTATTGGAGAACCCCTTGAAAGAGGTCCCTACCACGAACCCTTTCAGCTGGTTCTACCTAGAACCCAACATAAAGGCTTATACCTGGAGCCGTCTGTGAGAGGTTCCAACCAGAACCACGTTGAGAGGTTCTATAGAGAATCGTTCTATGGTGTAATGGTTCCACCCAGAACCCCCTATAAGATTATACAAAGACATCTTCTATGGTGTAATGGTTCCACCCAGAACCCCCTATAAGATTATACAGGGACATCTTCTATGGTGTAATGGTTCCACTTAGAACCTTATATGAGAGTTTCCACAGAGACACCTTCTATGGTGTAATGGTTTCACAGAACCCACTATAATTTGTTCTAGAGAGAAACCTTCTATTATGTAATGGTTCTACCCAGAACCCTCTCTGGGGGTTCTATCTAGAATCTTTCCACTTTCTAAGGGTGTTAACAAACCCCCCCCCCCCCCAGAGGAGGGGTCTATGGGTATTCCCCATGCTTCCAACAATCTTTGGAAAACTATTTGTATGAAAACGGTTCTAAATGGAACTCGCAGTCTCACAAAGAACCCTTGAAAAATCAATTTCTTCAAAAAAGGTTTCTGGGTAGAACCTTCAGGGAGAACTCGTTTGGAACCTTTATTTCTAAGAGTGATGTTGGATTTTAGTTTGGAGTCTCTTCAGTGAAGAACCAGAAGAAACAAACGACTGAGTCAAAAAGCTTGATTTTTACTTCCTACATTAAATACCTCTTTAGGGTACTTTGACTTTATAAAATTGTTTTTTTTAATACAACACAACAACATAATTTAGTTTTTAAAACAGAACCTAGAACAGTTTTTAGATTATAAATAATGCAGTCTGATAATCTACAGATAAATATTTCAAATAAACATGAAACAACATGTTAAAATAATTGGTGGTAGAATCTGAATATTTATCTCTAAATCAATGAGCTCTCTGACATTCTGCCATTAAAGGAATACTTCCACATTTTGGAAAATACGCACATTTGCTTTCTTGCCAAGAATTAGATGAGAAGTTTCAATACCACGTAAATATGAGGCTACACCTAGCGGCCAGTTAGCTTAGCATAAAGACTGGAAACGGGGAAACAGCTAGCCTGGTTGCTCTGAAGCTCACTGAGAATAAGTGTATTTCCCAAAGCTTAGACGGACCCACGGCAGCAGACTCACATGTTGTGCCAATCACATACAGATCTATACATGTTTACATCCATCTGGACGCCTAACACACCAGAACATTTTGTTAATATAACATAAGACGTTTGACCCGTTTCAGCTGGAGGACTTAAACACTGACACCAGCATGCGTTTCAATGTGTTGTGAATGTTTCTTCTGCTGGTTTTGCCGGTTATATTAATGTACCGAAGAGTTTGTGTTTCCTTTAGCAGGATAAATAATGAATCTAACTGAGTCTGGATTGGTTTCCGTTGGTGACGTTGCGTGTACAGTATGCTGAGTGTGAAGCTCGATGTTAAACCTTTAGGAGACTATGAATGTGTTGCTCTGCTGTACACTCATCAGTGTTCCTGTCGCACATTTTAAGGGATATTTGTGTTATTGTTTGGGAGAGATAGGAAAGCCAAACTGTGAGGACGTTTATCGTACCTCTGAGAGTCGAAGCTGAATTTATTTGTGCCCAACTCGACTCCCCATCACATAATAATATACTACGCTTGTTATTCTCTTTTAATTGGGTATTAAATCTCTGTAATATCGTCATGTGGTGATCTTTTTTTCTAATATGCTTGAAAATCTACAAAACCATCTAACCATGATGTAAAAAGCAAAACTTCCTGTATAAATGATTTTAAAGATTTACATGAACTGTAATTATACTACTGATACAATATTTAAAATGATTAAACTATTCCACCCTTAATGCTTCTCTGTGTGATTCATGTTGACTGGCTTTTGAAGAAGGCTTTGAATGGGAATGTGATTATCAAGCTGTGGTTGAGGGTCACTGTCAGTACAACCTGATCAGACCACAGCCACTCAGCTGCTGCAGCAGTGTGTTCATGATACCAACGGGTTTTACTCTGAATGTTTGAGGCTTCAAGGTGAACACAAGTCTTAAAGTGATTATTAATTCAGGCTGTTCTCAAACACTGATTGTAGATACGAAAAGTAATGCACAGAAATGTGTATGTATAACGAAAGTAAAGGACTTTCAGTCACACACCGTGGTTATTAACACCGTGGTCACTCAGAGGACTTCCATACCATAATAACACTACTTTAGGAGAAACGGAAGTCAGACAGCGGCTGACATTACCACGAGTTTGCATATCGGAGAATCACGGTGGCCTTCGGGTAACATTAAAACCTGAAAGGCTCTCTCTCGAGCCAGTGTTTGGTTTGTCCATTTTGGGCTGTAGCACCTCCATCATTCTACATTTTGGGTTAATGTAGAATGACGGAGGTGCAACCTCAGGTTCTGCCAATTAAAGCCAATGTGGAAGGAAGTGTTTCAAAAGTGTCGGAAGTGTCTTTGTTACAAAAAAACCCCCCAAAAACAACAAGATGGCGACGGCTGTAATCCAAGATGGCGACAGCAAAATCGCGGACTCCGGTAAGAAGACCCACTCCCTATGTAGATTTGAAGGGGCTCATTCTAAACTTTCAGGTGATTATACACTAATGAAAACATGGTTATGAATATTATATTATATTTCTGCTGATAGATGCCCTGAAATGATACATACTGGCCCTTTAAGTAACGCCATTTCTGTAGTTGTTTTAACCCAAACCGCTGCATGTAGGTCTATCTGCAGGTGTACAGAACTACATTACACACCCTCGAAACAGTGTTAGTTTGGTGATGTTTAGACACCAAAACTACTTGGTTAGGTTGAGGAAAAGATCATGGTTTTAGGTAAAGATAAGTATGATAATCACAGAAATTGTATCAGGGGGCGTGTCATGTTTTGAAGTGGGCGTGGCCTGTTGTAAAGTAGGCACCTCTCAAACATTGACTAATTTGCTGCGTAACTTCTGTACTTAATTAACGCAACTTCCGTAGTTATTTTAACCAAAACCACAATCTTTCCTTAAACCTAACAAAGTCGTTTTGTTGCATAACCACCGTGTTGCTGGACATTCATAGAAAAACGCACAAAAACAAAAGAACATTTTGTAATATATCATACGAACCGTTGAATGAGGATTCATTGTTTTTTATTCACATTTTTTGACTTTATCTGGTTCATATTGGGCTGTTGTAGTTCATGTAAACATATGTAACGTTGTGAATTGTGCTCTGCTTTAACCCGACTGTCTCTCCCTCAAAGCGAGCGTGAAGCACCTCCTGTGTTGTGACATGTGTGCTCCGTGACAGCAGACGCGCTTCGGTGAAGTCTCTTTCTATCCGTGTTTATTTTGAGAGGATAAACCTGGTTGAGAAAACCTCCTTTTGTCTCGTTTGTTCTGCATTTCAGAGCGCTGCCAGATTTTATACTCCATACCAAATGAACTAAATCCCCCACAATCCCTGTGGTTGAGTCAAAGACACCCTGAGGCCGTGGACGACCGATTCATTCAATGACATCATGCTCGCTTGCATCACTGTGTTGCTTGTTACCAAGGTGATGGTGATGACCCTTCAATCTAGATCCTCACCAGTTAACTGTTTGAAATTTGTGTGTGTGTGTGTGTGTGTGTGTGTGTGTGTGTGTGTGTGTGTGCGTGTGTGTGTGTGTGTGTGGAGGGTGTGCCTTGTTATTGTCGGTATTTTCATGTGTTTTCTTGGGTAATGAGTCTGTGCATGTTTCCTGTGCTGTGTGTTCCCATACTGAACACACAGGGAGGCCTATTTGAACTTATTTGCGTTGTAAGGGAATTTGTTTGTGTGCATATTTGTGTTCGTAGTTGTATTCGAACGGCAGAATCATTGTCTTTAAATTGGAATGAATTAGCAGCAAAAAATTTAATCAGAAGCAAAATATTGTCATTAATTCGTCATTGTAAGATACGACGAGGACACATTGATTCATTAAGTAAATTGTTTTGTATTTTTGTTTTCATAAACTAATCTCATGAGAAGACCAAAACCAACGTGTTCGTCCGCCCTCTAAATACTTTCCAACTCTTTCTGTTGCTCTTAGCACGTTGTTTTCTACTGAAGATGTTAATCTGTAGTCTTCACCTGTAACTACACAATATTACCACAACAGATGTGTGTGAATCCTTCTATCTGTGCAGAGTTGTGCACGAGAGTGCAATTATTGTTGCGGAAAATCCCCAGACAATTTTTCTTTTGTGTGTGTTAACCGTTGATCATCTTCTGCACACAGAGTCTCACGTTTCCAATAAGGCCGTGGTTCACCTCGTAATGCAACCGCTGGAAAATAGATAACGGCCTCACTGACAGGCTGCTATTACAAAAAGCTCTTTTTAGTTCAGCCCCTGTTTGTTTATCCGCGGCCAATTACAGTGTTTGGTGAGCTCAGTGACGACACTACCTAATTACAGTCAGTGACTCTGTAATTACATGAAATGACACCCAGAGTCTCGTAGGACTATGTGTGTTCCTGTCACAATATATGTAACAAAAATACTCCATTATATTGTAATATTTTGAATCAAAAGGCGAGATAATTGATTAAACATCATGGTATGTAAATGAAGAAACAGATCCAGATGTTTCCCAAACTTTAATTAACAGGGAATTCCTGTAAAAGTTAGAGTTGAACCCAATTTACAGCTGTCTACATCTGGTTAACATTTACCCGGAATCATTTTGCAACACGTCATAAGATTTTATATTTACAACAATCTTTCCTTCATTTATTGTTCTGGAAAACTTGAGATTAATCATGGCTTCAAATGAACTGCTGGCTCAGCGAACAAAAGGGCACAAAGCAGGAAGAGACGAGCTGTGTATGTGGCAGTAAAGGTTATGATATGCAGGATTACGGGGTCTGATTTCAGCACCTCAACTGGGACGTGATCCACAAACCAGAACCAAATGAATGATTTACATTTACTGAGATGGATGACGTCAAACTTTAATGATGTTTTGTGCACTTAGCAGACATTAGAGGCTGCAAATGACATCTCTACTAGTTGCAAACACCAGCTTTAAGAATAAAAAGAAGAAGGGAAGGTATACCTGTGTGTCGTCTCCGTGACGTTGGATGATTTGACCTCGTGGGAGCATCTATATGGAAAATAAAAGTGGACCTAAAATTGAACCTTGCGGTACACCACAGGTAATACGTTCTATCTGGAAGGTAAGAATAAAACCAAGTTCAGCTTCCTTAATGCCAACCCAGGTTTTAAGACGGCTGATTTAAACAACGTGGTCTACTGTGACAAAAGCTGCATTTAG